ATGCCACTAATGACATACATTTAAGGGATTGCCAAACGCAAGGTCCCCAAGTGATGACATATCAGAATACTGACTAATGAACAGCAAATTCTCCAGAGCACTGAGCTGACATCTAAATACAAATTATACCATACAAGAGCTCAGGGCTGGTGCAAGGAATTTTGCCACCCTAGGCAAAGATCCATTTTGCGCCCTCTCATGAGATCGTTCCCTAGTGTCACACGTTCATTCACTAAACACCAAAAATAAACAAACATTCTACTGATTTCTTTTAACAATTTAGTAGATATACACCCAAAGAAAATCTTTTTTTACCCACTTTGCTGAGTTTACAATTGTGCGCATGCACACTGCATCAGAGCTTTCCTATATTTCCCATTAAGCTGTAGTTCAGCTCATTGAGAAAGTGGGTAGGCAGGTGAAAGTACAGCACTTCTGCCTCTTCTGCTAGCTATATGGAGCTAAAAGAAGTGGAAGAAATCCTTCCTAGCTGTGTAACAGGGAGGGAGATGTATTTGCTTCCAGTTATAAAATCTATTTGTAGCGGAACGCCAATATTAAATCCACGAATTCTGCTGGTTCAGGAAGTAATCCACAGTCAAGCGCTGGAAACAACAAGGCAATATCCCAAATCTCCCAGTAACCGGACGAAACACAGTTCTGAGAGTCTTTTAATTCAGCTCCACAAATACAAGTCCCCATGCAAGGGGTTTCCTGAGTCCCCTCCCAGGGGCATTCCCAGAGGGGACTACATGGGGGACTTACAATACAGGGCATTTCTCCCATCAGGCACTGCTGCACGAGAGGGATCCTCCCACTGGAATATACCGTTAAGTGGATTATCCCTCCGTGCAGCAGAACTTACAATTCGTATAAAAATGTATAACTATGAATATGCGGTCTATTTAAACGAATGGACATTCGGTAGATAGCTGGGGTCTGAGCGCATCATTCGTGAGATTACCGCTCAGATCCCAGCTAAAACAACCGAACGCCGCACGAAAAACACTTTTATTAAAAGACATATTAAAATGACCGATTGCCTCCTAGGGAATGAAATACCGAACGGCCCGGAACTCCCGAACGGCCTGGAGGCCGTCTAGTAGCCGTTTTTAGTACCATGCGCTCGACGACCTAACACCGCTGAGGGAACAAAGGATCCAAGATGGCTGACCGCCGCATGGTCGGTAGTCGAACGGCGGCCACCTAGGAGAGCCTCTAATTACCGATTGCAACATTGTTGCAATCGGTTAACAAGCGCCACAAGCCTCTAAGTGTGTGGGCTACTATATGGAGTGTTTTCGGTTCATGAACGGCCCGCAAAAGTGCCGTTCGTGAAACGAAAGAAAAACCCAATACAAATAGCTATCTGCATTCGGCAGATAGCCAATACAGGAAATACAAGGTATTACAACCAGCATACATTATACATAGTTAAACACATATCCCCACCGACATACAGGCAACCCTTGAAGGTACAGTCTCTTTATATTGTCCAAGTGGCTAGGTTTGCCACAATGCTCCCCCAGAACCAAGCCGGCATACACAGTCTGATCCCAACGGATCGGCTTGGGGATGTCCGGAGGAGGGCTCACAGATCACTTCTCAAGGTCTTTTTGTCTAGATAACCCGTCGGCGTTACCGTTTTGTTTTCCTGGGCGATAATGGATAGTAAAGTCAAAAGGCTGCAGCGCTAAACTCCAGCGCAGCAGCCTGGCATTGTCTCCAGCCACACGGTTCAGCCACACCAACGGGTTGTGATCTGTGAGCAAAGAAAAGGGTTGCCCATAGAGATACGGTTGTAACTTTTTCAGGGCCCACACCACGGCCAGGCATTCTTTTTCGATGGCGGCGTAGCTCACTTCTCGGGGTAACAATTTCCGGCTCAAATATGCTACAGGGTGTTCTCCGCCATCTGCTCCGACCTGGCTCAGTACTGCTCCCAATCCAAACATTGAGGCATCTGTGTGGACAAGAAAACATTTAGTTGGATCAGGAGCAGCAAGTACAGGAGCATTGGTCAGAGTCGTCTTCAGTTGGTTAAATGCCAGTTCACACTCTGGGGCCCAGATGACCTGTCGGGGCAGGTTTTTCTTCGTCAAGTCAGTCAGGGGTTTG